TGATTTGCTCCCTGGTTGCCAGACAGTGCGGCAAAAAAACAAAAGACAAAACAAGACAACAACAAGTGAAATGCTTGTTTTCACGTGCCCAGGTCTTGAGGATGTCTCGAGCGAGACGCTTGGTTTTCACGCCTCCAGGTTGCCCAGTTAGATGTCTAGCATGAGGATTTGTTGAGGATGTCTCGAACCAGAGGCTAGTTTTCACGTGTCCAGGTCGCCCAGGCGGATGTCTAGCATGAGGATGTGTCGAGGAAGTCTCGATCGAGACGCTTGTTTGCACGTGTCCAGGTTGCCCAGGCGGATGTCTAGCATGAGGATGTGCTGAGAACGTCTTGAGCGAAACGCGTGTTTTCACGTGTCCAGGTCGCCCAGGCACAGCACAGCCCTCGGCACGGTACATCAATATCGATACCCTTAGCATTGCAGCCTGGCATGTTGCCTGGCACGTTCCGCGGAGCGTCCCGTGGCGAGTCCCCCTGGCACATCGCGCGGTGCACGTCCATTGGCACGTTCCGTAGCGCGTCCCCTTGGCACGTCCCGCGGTGCGTGCCCATGGCACGTCCCCTGGCACGTCGCCTGGCGCGTCCCTTGGGACGTTCCGCGGCGCGTCCTCCTGGCATGTCCCCCTGTCGATTAGTTCTGGAACAGCTACCATCTGCTCAGGCAGCTCGAGCTTAAGATCCAGATCAGTTCGGTCAGGACTCGGATGCAAAGAGGACTCGATTCACAACGCTATGTAGAGCACGATCGCGGCATGGCACATCGCAGTTCAGCACGGCCTAGCACAGCACAGCCGTCGGCCATTGCACATCTCTGGGGGCCTCTTGGGACCCTCTCGGGGCCCTCTTGGGGCCTTTTTGGGCCCCTCCCAGACGGCCCACGAAGCCCGCGGGGGGCTCAAGAGGGTTCCAAGATGGCCTCAAAAGGGCCTCGAACGGGCCCCAAGATGGCCCCAAGACAACCCTTGAGAGGTGCAACGGCCGTTGCACATCTCTGGGGGCCTCTTGGAACCCTCTCGCAGCCCTCTTGGGGCCTACTTGGGCCCCTCCCAGACGGCTCAGGAAGCCCGCAGGGGGCTCAAGAGAGCTCCAAGATGGCCCCAAGAGCGCCACGAACGGGCCCCGCAACGACCCCTGAGATGTGCAACGGCCGTTGCACATCTCTGGGGGCCTCCTGGGACCCTCTCGGGGCCCTCTGGAGGCCTTCTTGGGCCCCTTCCAGACGGCGCAGGGGGCTCATCAGGGCCCAAGACGGCCCCAAGAGGGCCCCGAGCGGGCCCCAAGACGGCCCCACAATGACCCCTGAGATGTGTAACGGCCGTTGCACATCTCTGGGGGCCGCTTGAGGCCCTCCTGGGGCCCTCCTGATACGCCGGAAACGTATCATCTAGGAGCGTGCCTTGCATGGCGGAGACGAAATCAATCGAACCACGATTATGGAAATACTGTTGGGGCGTGCCTTGCATGGCGGAGACGAAATCAATCGAACCACGATTATGGAACCAGGCGTCGCCCGCCGGGGCGTGCCTACGTAGAGAACCAAACGACATAAGCGAAACAGCTCGGAGGTCCGCGCGGGTTTCTTGGAACGGCGCCGGACCGCGTTCCCCCGGAAACACCGCTAAGCGGCCCAGCGCCGACGCAAGAACCCCGCGCGGACCTCCGAGTTGTTGCGTTTACATGGCTCAAGCCGTTGTGGCTCGACGGGTCTTCGGGGGCCCCCTTCGTCTGTGGGGAGCTTCGCAATCTGTCCTGGTGTTGCTTTTCGCCCTCCCTCCCCTCCCGTCGCTCCCTCCCTCCTCCCTCCTCCCCTTCCTCCCTCCCTACTACTACTACTACTACTACTACTACTACTACTACTACTACTACTACTACTACTACTACTACTACTACTACTACTACTACTACTACTACTACTACTACTACTACTACTACTACTACTACTACTACTACTACTACTACTACTACTACTACTACTACTACTACTACTACTACTACTACTACTACTACTACTACTACTACTACTACTACTACTACTACTACTACTACTACTACTACTACTACTACTACTACTACTACTACTTACTACTACTACTGACTACTACTACTACTACTACTACTACTACTACTACTACTACTACTACTATACTACTACTACTACTACTACTACTACTACTACTACTACTACTACTACTACTACTACTACTACTACTACTACTACTACTACTACTACTACTACCACTGCTATTACCACTGCTACTTGTACTGTAAGTGCGTGCGCATTGCCGCCGGGCCCCAGGCTCTGCGGTGCTCGCGCGCGCTGTGTTCACAGGCGTTGTGGCGTTCACACGGGTTGTGGCGTTTTCTGGTTATGTCGCGTGCACAGGCGATGCGGCATTCACGGGCGCTGTGGCGTTCGCAGGCGCTACGTTGACAGGCGCTTTGGTGTTCACAAGCGCTGTGGTGTTCACAGACGCTGCGCTCGTCAAAAGCATTGTGCCGTTTACGGGCACGTCGCGTTGATCGGACCGCAAACTATTGTAGCGCTTGACATAGGCGCGTCGTGGCTGTCGGGTCGCAAGCGATTTTTCGCTGGCGTACTACAGGTGGTGTGCACGTTGACAGCTGTATACACAGGCGCTGTTGTGCACCCGTGCGTTGCGACGTACGCTGACGATGTTGTGCACGCGTAGGTTGCTGCATCAGCATGCGTGGTGTTCGTGGGCATTGCGGCGCTGTGTAGCCCTCGCAGCTGCTAGGCCCTGTCGTTGCATGAGTGCTCTGACCAGTAGCAACAAAGGGCAGTCCTTCCAGCACAGTCAGCATTCGAGCGGCCAGGCGCGACTGCGTTGTGCGCGCGGAACGTGCTGCTGTGGGCGCAGCAAATGGTGTGAAAAAAACTTTGTGGTATGGCGCGTTTACAATCGTATACGCAGTTTCTGTGGTTTACGTGATCACTGCCATGCGCCATGCACTGTGGTGTACACGTGCGATGTGGTGCGCGCATAGGCTGCTGCATCAGAATGTGTGCATACAGCCATTCGAGCGGCCGGGCGCGGCTGTGTTATGTTATGTGCCAGCGACCCCACCCACCCACCCAACCACATAACGCGCGTTATGTGGAATAATAAAAACTTGAGCTCCTCCTTCTCCTCCTCCTCCTCCTCCTCCTCCTCCTCATCCTCCTCCCTCGTGCTCCTCCTCCTCCTCCTCCTGCTTCTCCTGCTCCTCCTCCTCTCCCTCCTCCTCCTCCTCTTCCTATTCCTCCTCCCTCGTGTTCCTCCTCCTGCTCCTCCTCCTCCTCCTCCTCTTCCTCCTCCTCCTCCTCCTCCTCCTGCTCCTCCTCCTCCTCCTCCTCCCCCTCCCTCCGTTTGTCCTCCTTCTGGGACGGGCAGAGGGGCACCACCCTTCGACGGGTTCGACACGGCGACAGTGCTCCCCGGCCTCTCGTGCTCTCGTCGCCGTCATCCTCGTCGCTCTCCTTCCAGCATCCGCCATAAGCAGAGACGTTTGGCGCTTCGCGCGGATTTCGTGGATCTGCGCTGGGCCCCCCTAGCGTCCCTCCGGCGCCGCCGCTGGTGCGCTCCGCGCGCCCAGGATGGGGGCCCGGCGCGGATCCAAGAAATCCGCGCGGACCTCTCAAAGTTGTTGTTTGCGTGTTTTTGTTTGTCTGCCTCCATCGTTCTCCCTAATCGTCGTCCTCGTCGTGCTTCTCCGCTCCAGCACCCGACGGCGCGAATTGCTCGTACCAGGGCCATCGTCACCCCCCCGCTGTGCCTCCCCGTGCGCCCTGCAGAGGAGCCACAGGGCCACGTCTTGAGACTGGTCGTGTCCGCCTCGTCCTCGTCCTCGTGCTGCTCTTCACGGTGTGTCTCCTACCGCCTCTGCTCTTCCTCCGCCTCCTCCCTCTCCCCCCCGCAGCAGCTTTGGTGCGAGCTTGCCGCCCGAAGAGGAGAGGCAAACACACACCCCATACTCAAGAGGCTGACCCCTGGGGGGCAGGGAAAGGGTAATTACGCTCAACGTTGGATGCCGAGGAAGCGCAGGCACGGATGACTTGGCGACGGGCCCCGCCTTCGTGCAACATCCGACGCGCGCCGTCGCCAAAGCAGGCGACACATGCGCCCATGCTTCGGGGGCTCAGGATTCCAAAATAAAGAAGGGAGGTCACAAACCTCCCAGCCGAACAGTTTTAGATCCCCCCACAGACCAGGCATGCAATGGCGGCCTTCAGCCTGCACCCCCTGGAACCCTGCATGACAGCTCAAATCAGACCCCCGCAATTCAGAACCCCTTTTTTCATGAAATGTACGTTTCCTGATCCGTGGATCTAGCGCCACATCCTGAACCACTTCCGGTCCCACTCCCCCCACCCCCTTTTCCTGAAGTGAGGCGTTAGGGGAATTTTCGTTCGTAGTTTCAGGCACTGTTGGCGCAGACCGTTTTCTTGGAGTCGGACCCCCCTCCCAGGAATGGTGGGCGAGTCAAAGATCGAGCGTGCTCAGGATTAGGTGTATGCGGGGGGCAGCATTCCTAGACACAATGCCTACTGGTAGAGGTGAGGAGAGGTGGGGTGGGGCAGGGGTGTGTGGACAAGTTGAAGAGCAGGGGCGGCTTGGACAGGTGTTCGGTGTACCCTTTCCTTCCCCCAGTCCCACATCCGGAAGGTTCATGCGACGATGGCGCGCCGGTGACGCCGGCGATGGCGTTCCAGGTTGAACTTCGCGTGATCGGACGATGTGGAAGCACTGACGGACACGGTGTAACGCCACAGGACCTGGCAGAATTCAGCTCTGAACGATCGGGGCCGCGATCGGTTCAAGGCTGAGCGGTCGGCACGGTGTCTCGCAGGCGATTTCTCTTCCCCGACCCGCGAATACCGCCCGAAAAGTTTGGCACCAGGGGCAACCCTGGGATACACCCCCCAAGAGGGCTAACTATTCGGACGCATCCCCATCGAGGATGGTCGCCCCCCGCATCGTATTTCCAAGGGTTGGGCCTAAAATTTCTGTTCCGGTCGAAAACCCCGCGAAACCTGGAACAGGGGTCGACACATCCCATGTTGTCCAGCCGGATCTTGCGTGATCCTGCAGAGCCAGGGCCACACTGACCTGGATTGGGGCGCAAGGCCCGGAGGATCCTGCAGGATTTTCCAGGATCGTGCAAAGCCTGACTGACCCGGGTTTGTGTTGGCCCAGGTCAGTGGATCCCCACGGAACTCAACCTTGGCCGATCGGGGCCGCGATCGGTTCAAGGCTTAGCGATCGGCGGGGTCAAAAACCTTGGCTATTTCTCATGGTCCCTCCAAACTCCGCCTGTAGGAGGACACGCCCGACCTAAACCTTGGCGCGCGCCGACGCCGCGCGAACCTGCCGGAAGCCGTTTCTCGAGGAGGGCACCATGGCAGGCCAGCAGAGACAGGAGACGGGGTGCCTCCCATGCTTCAACTGCTGCGTGACCGTGCCGCAGGACGCCCGTGGAGAGAGCGAGAGAGAGAGGAGACACCAAAAGCGGCAGAGGATTCCTCCTCGTCTATTCCGTCTCAATGTTGGACTATTTAGGCCTCCTAGATGGGGTCGGAGTAGATGGGGTCGGAAGGTCAGATCGCGCCGCATCGTCGATGCATCGCGGATGCGGCTCGATGTGCAGCCCGATCTGTTTCACGTCGACGTCCCCGATGCATCGCCTACGTCGACAATGCATCGGCGGTGCATCACCGATGCATCGGCGATGTATCGCCGATGTCTCGCCGATGCGGCACGATCCTCCGACCCCATCTGTTCCGACCCCACTTATGAAGCCTCTACACTGCAAGTAAGAGGGACCCTTCGCCGGAGTTACTTTTGGTGCGGGCTCATCGGGGACCCCCCGACCGTTGAGCACGATGCGATAGCAGCGGCCTTCGCGCTTGGGTTTTGCCCCCTCGCGCTCCCCAAAAGCCGCGCACCAAAGGTCACTCTTACCCAGGGTCACTCTTTCGTCCAGCCGACCTTGCATCGCCACGAGGGAAACAAGGGTCCTGCGGGAAGCGGATCCTGAGGTCTTTCGCCGTTCTTGGGCTCGCCAGGGCCCCCGGGACTGTTAGAGAACGACTCTGGATGGAGAGCTCGTCTTCGGGGAAATGCATCAGGGTCCAGGACCCGTTTCCCCCAGGACCGGCTGCCCCCATGCGATTCACACAGTTGCAACCGAGACCGACAGTAAGGATGCGTAACCTTCCCAATGGTACCCTTGTACCCTGGCCTCCTCGGTCCAGCCGTAGCCCCCCTCGATGGCTGGCCCCGCTCGAAAAGCTTCGACAGGGGCGTCCGAGGCCCTTGCAGCCTCATCGCGCATCCGTGCCACCAGTTCTGACCGTGCTCTCGGCCCCCGCCACTCTGCGTGGACTGTGTTGATGGAGCGCCACGGCTGCAACCATGTTGACGCACTGGCAGGGGAGGGCGCCCCAGCGCACTGCAGCCTGCAGCCCAACCCCATCCCTGCGGCGTGGTGCGCCTGGAGGTTTTTTTTTTTCCGAAGGGCTTAGGCGACCCGTCCTCCTCCTCCTCCTCCTCCTCCATTCCTCCTCCTCCTCCTCCTCCTCCTCCTCCTCCTCCTCCTCCATTCCTCCTCCTCCCCCTCCTCCACCTCCTCCTCCTCCTCCTCCTCCTCCTCTTCGGGTCGCCTACGGCCCCGGGGGAAACCGTGCATGTGCACCCCGGCATGCGCGTTGCTTGTTTCTGGTCATGGTCGATGGTCGGAGGTCACACGCGCAGTCCTGCATTCCCCTGTGCAGGTCGCATGTGGCGGGCCCCCTCTCCACCAATTCTGTGCACTCGCCTGAGCCAGACACTGCCTCTCGAGGCGATGAGCGCCGCCGCGCGGCGCCGCGACCGCTCAGCGCGCGCATCAAACAAAAGGGGGTTGATAGCTAGGGGAGGTGGATATCATGGCTGGGGCTATGATATCTCCCCGGACCTCATGGCACCATCTTCTTCTTCTTCTTGCAATGCGTTCCGAGTTCTCTCCCTCGTCCGCGCACGTGCGTCGGGCCAAGATTTGCGCCGCCCCCTTCTTGGACGTTCCCCTCTTGTCTTGGCATCGTTCGGGGATCCTCGAGGAGCATCCTGGATCATCCTGCGAAAACACACGCACGAAACCGAAACATGCACGGGGAATGGACGCCCGAACGATAGCAAGTTAGATGGACACCCCCCCATGAGGCTGCCCAGCGGTGTCACGGCACTGGTGTCTTATGCCCGGGCGAGGAACGAGTCATGCGCTGAGATCCTCGTTCGTCCGTGTCCTCCCCCCCTGGCCCTTTCCTTCGGATGCAGATTTTGAGAGAACAGGCTATGACTCTTCCCTGGCCCAAAATCCGGCTTCATCCCGCCCGATCCGGCTTCGTCCAGTTTAGTGCGGCCTGGTTCCGTGTTGTCCGCGGCCTAGCCTGGCAGAGCCGCCGCCCACCCCCAGAGGGGGCTAATTCCTCCCAATCTTTCCGAAGAAGGCCTTCCAGCAGTTGTCTCCTCCTCCTCCTCCTCCTCCTCCTCCTAACCCCTTCCCTCCGCCTCCAAAGTAATAGCAGCTGCGCTGTAACGCAGATCCCTTATATTTATTCGAAGTCGCGGAAAAAAAAAGCATTGCCGGTGTCTTGCTTGTCTTGACGTGACAATTTCAAGGTGGAACAGCCGTTATGTTGTGTTGAGGCTAGCTTCGCCTGTGGGGTTCGTCAGTCCACTACTGAGCCCCAGTTGGCAGCAGTGCGCGAGCGATCCACAATCAAGATACTGTGGCTATGAATTCAGATGCGGTGGTAATAAGTCCAAGACGCAGCTGCAATAAAGTCTATATGCGAAATAATCGTGCCGAAAACACTGCTGTAGCCCTAGACCCCATGTTTCCGCGCCATCTTTCGAGCCAGATTGATCTGTGATGGACCTGGGGCCCGATGCTTGGCGAACACATCGTCCCGAAAAAATGAAGCGCCCAGATCCCAGGGAACAGGTTCATATTGGCGTCGTGCAAGAAATATCGGAGAACTCCCGCATACAAATTTCGTGGATTGGCTTTGGTAGTGTTTTCCACAGCGCCGTGATTCTCTCACGCTGCCTGATCTCGGCATTCGCGCGGGGGGGGGGTCGATCGATGTTGGTGTCCGTTGCTCGGCGCCCTGTCGAGCGGAACATGGGCACTGATATTGATCGAGTTCAGGACAAGCCCCGATCGATGCCGGCGCCTCTGACGCCGCCCCTGAGGGGAGGGGCATCGAGTGCCATCCAAAAATTTGGTGCGGTCCGTAGGCCAGGGAGGGGGGTCGAGTGCCGGTCCAAGAACCCACGCGGACCTCCAACCGTGCATGTTTGTGCCATATGGCTTCTACACAAAGATCTACGGAACACAAGGCAGAACGATTTGTAAAAAACGCCGATCTTGCTTCTGATCTCGATATTAGCCAAACAGGCACCAGTCTCTTTACCAAAAGGCACAAGAGGATTGAAGCAAAGTTTCCAAGGTCGAGCTTTTGCCTATTTTACTTGACTTCCGCGCGCAGGATAAGATCTACGCAGTGGAGCAGTTCGGGAGCTTCCAGAAGGCGCGCGTGGGAAACGCTCCACCACCACAGCCCACATCCATACCCCGCCCGCACTCATTCTGCCCCCCTCGGAGTGATTTCGATCTGGCTACTCTTCCCTGGTTGCCACGTGTTGGGAGCGCTTGGGCTTCAGAGGTAAAGAACACCGACACCAATGCCCACTCCCCTGGTCCATGTCGATCCGAATCGATGTCCATTCTGACCAGCCCGATGCAGTTCGATGTCTGCTATTCCGACGATCCGATGCTCGCGTGGGCGTTGTTGAGCATCTTTGCGCGTCCGATCCGATACGAATCCGACTCCGCGCCGATGCTGCGCGGTCCGACGCATGCTCCGAGCATATCCGATCTCACGATTCGGCGCTGGCTGATCCTGCTTCGTTCTTGCCGTTGGTCATTGGTCCCCCCCCAGGGGGTCCTCGTCGCTGCGGCTCGTAGGCGGCAAGCATATCCGCATGTGCGGCCTCGCATGCTGGGCCCCTGTGCCGCGACCTCGCGGAGACGGGGCGCTTCCCGCGGATGCCCCGCGCAAGCGACCGGGCCCAGGGATCGCGCCCAGGAATCTTTGAGATTTTGGCGTTGCAATTTTTTGTCACAGCTGGTGGTTTCGCTCGATTTCGAGCCCCGTGACTCTCTCAGATCGATCCGGTTCGAAACATGACACAGACAAATGGGGTCTAGGGCTCCGGGCGTGATGTTTTTGTCGATGTTGCCATTTATGCTGCAGCGTCGGTTCTCAGGGATCCATACCGCGAGGTTGTGGGTATGCACACGGTCGCCGCTCGTGCACGGCTGGCGCCGCCCCATAGAAATCTTGGGCGGAGCGCGTGCCCCCCTTGGAGAGGCCCCCCCAAAAGAGCGGTGGTGCCTCTGGGCCTCCCGGATGAGGTCCGAGTATCGGGCCGTGCGAGAGGTCGGCACGAACGAGATGGGTGCGGAGAGAAGGGGTACAATGCCCAACAGCAGTTCCTGTTCATTTTGAACTGGACTCGCTGTCCACGCCGCCGCGGCCTGTGTCCATTCGAGGCAAAGGCCGCCTGCCCAACAGCGGCCGCTGTTGGTTTAGGACAACATGTGTTGTTGGGCATTGTACCAATTTTGTCCGTACCCATGTCGGGCGTCCAAAATAGGGGGGAAGGGAAAGGGGGTGTTACGAAGTCTGCTGCATGCAGCTGGCTTCGGCCCCGCCGCCGGGCCCAGTCCTCGATACATGGACGCCTCCCAGCGCTGGGAGGCGCCAGGGAAATTGGCTACGTCAGCTGATTCTCAACCCCCTCCTTTACTATCCCCCCCTTTCGCCCGGCCCGAGAGTAGATGGGATCGGAGGATCGCGCCGCATCGCCGATGCATCGGCGATGCGGCTCGATGTGGAGCCCGATCTTCTCCACGCCGATGGCCCCGATGCCTCGCCGACGTCGCCGATACATTGCCGATGAATCGACGATGTGTCGCCAAGGCATCGCCGATGCGGCATGATCCTCCGACCCCATCTACCCCGACCCCATCTATGAGGCCTCTGGTGCCCGCGTCTCGCCGCTCCCGAGAGGGCGCACGCGCGGCGGGCGTCGGGGCGGCCGAGCGTCGGTTCTCCCCCGCGCGCGCGTGCGGTGCGCCAAGCGCCCGGCAGGTCAACCGAAGGCCAAGGCTTGCGCGGGGAGTCGCTGCGATGCGAGCGCGTTCTCAGGGCAGCGGGCCCCGAGGATTTTGTTGCCCTGTTTTCGAGCTCCTCGGTGCCCTCCATCGAAGAAGAAAAAACGCTGTAGACATAAACTTTCGGCACTCCGCGCGGATTTCTTGGATCCGCGCTGGGGCCACCAGGCGGCGCCGCCCCAGGCGCGCTCCGCGCGCAAGGGTAGTGGGGTCCGGCGCGGATCCGAGAAATCTGCGCGGAGCGCCAAAAGTTTGTGTTTATTGTATTTGTTCCTCTTCTAGGGACGAAGAAGTGGTCCCAGGGTTTACGCTCCCCTGGGGTCCAGGACCAGTTTCCCTCAGGACCTGAATTGTTTTTTTTCCATGCTAGAAGAAGTGATCGATATTGAAGTCACACCTGGCCCTCGTCCACAACAAGGGGGGGGAAGGGCTCCGCGACCCACTGACGAAACCTGATTACCCTTGCCCAGATCATTGGACACCAGATATTTCGGTCGCGACCGATCGCGACTGATTGCAGAATCGGTCGCCACCGAAAGCGACCGACTGGGTGCGACCGCTTTTGAATTTGAATTCGAAGCAGAATCGGCAGCGACACATCTCGTCGGTCGCGACCAGAGTTTTTTCTGGCATCCAATGATCGGGGCCTGCATGTCAAGTCGACGCCGGGGTATCGGCACTTAGTGGGCCCGGGAAACGGCAGGGCTGTTTTTCACCGTTTCCGAAAAAGTGTCTCTTGAAAATGGAATCGGCAAAAACACGGGACAAGAAACGGCAAAAAACGGCTCCAGGATTGGAATTGGAGCCCGAATTGGTAAAGAAACGGCGACGGAACCAGTAAAACAACGGCGTCGGAACCGGCAACCAAAATCGGCATAACGGAACCGGTAAAAAAACGGCCTTGTCGTTTCCAGGGCCTTTCCCATGGGAGTTCGTTTGGCTGCGGGCTTCCTGCAGGTTCTGAGCCCACGCCGTCGGTGGCTTCAGGAATCCGCTCTGCATGGGGTAGGACGCACATGCAGCTGCCTAGGCAGGGCCCATGTCGATCCGAACGATCTGACTGTGTATATACAAGTGGCACGTGTGTGCCCAGGCTCATACAACAAGCTGAAGGGGCGTTTGAAGCAGGAGTGACATGCAACAGCGAAGTCGCACTCGAGCGCAAGTGGGGTTGCCACACCTTGCGATGTGTGTACCAGGGCCCCCCAGGAAGCCTCAGGAGGCCCGACTTGGATACCAGAAGAGGCTCCAGGAGGCCCCAGGATTGTGAGTGTTGTGTGTGTGATGTGTGCTTTGTGTGGTGCGTGCTTTTTGTGTGTTGTCGGTGTTGTGTGTGTATGTTATGTTTGTCTAGCGTGTGATGTGTTGGGCGTGATTTGTGTCTCTGTGTGTGCATGTACACCCTAGGCGATGCTTAAGAAAACTTAAATTTTCGGCCAGAGTCTCGATGATTCTTAATGTTTCATGGTAAATCCTAAGGTTTCAATCGAAATCCTGGGTCTTTACTCAAATTCTGAGACTATGAATTTCTTAATCCATGATTTCTTAAGCATCTCGCAGGGTGTAGTTCTGAAGCCCCAGGAGGCCCCAGGAGGCCCCAGGCGGCCTCAGCAGGCCCAGGAGAACTCCAGGAGGCTCCGAGGCGGGGTCTGGGGTACCAGAAGGTCCAGAAAGCCCCAGGAGGCCCCAGGAGGTTCCAGGAGGCCCCCAGGAGGCTCCGAGGAGGGGTCTGGGGCTCGATTTTGGGAGGATGTCTCAGGCGAAACCGCCATTCTCTGAGAATCGGGGTCAACATTATTGAAATTACCATGTGTTTTTGAAGGTTTTATGTTAAAATGGTGAAATTCCCATGTGTTTTTGGACCTCTCCTTCACGATCTGCGTGAGGGGTGCCACCGATTTTCAGAATTTCGAGGATGTCCCGAGCGAAACGGCCAGAAAAATCAAACACGGACGCACGCACGGACGCATTAATCCCCTCTGAGCTCTACTCCCTCGGAGAGGTGCGTATGAGAATATATCTATATATATATATATATACACATATGTTCATATGTATACCCTTCTTTAGATGAATATATGTATATGTATATATGTTGATGCATGTATGTATGTAAATCTACCTATACGTGTATATATATATATGTATGTATAAGTCGGGCGTGTCCCTCAACATGAGGAGTATTCAAAAGTACCACATAAATGATATGGGGAAGATTGTTCGACTACTTGTTTATACCATTCTTGTATATGTTCAGACTATTTTTCATTTCTCCTTAAAAATATGCCTGTAGGTGGACATGCCCGACCTAAGATTATATATCTGCTTCAGCCGTTTCCGATCCAATTCGAGTTCGGTTTCCCGACGATCCGGTGCGGCCAGGCGCTGACACGGCGGTTTGTGCATCCTGGCGCAGCCGATCCGATTCGGTTTCGATTCCGTGCCGATGCGCAGCCCGATTCGGTACTGGCTGCTCCTACCTAGCAGGGGCAGAGGGGATTCCCGTGGCGGTGATATCGACAATCACCGCCAGGAGGGGCGATCTCAGGGGATGTCGGCAGGCGATGGACATGGATACATTCGGGACCCCCTGGGGCCGCAGAGTATTCACATCCACCGCCCGCCATGTCCCCGCCTCGAAGGATTACTATCGTCATCGTAGCGAGTGCCTCTCGAGGTGATCGGGGCCGGCCTCAACATCGTCGGATTTGACTTAATGGGTTGCTGCATCTCGTTCCGCTCCATCAGCAAGCGCGTCGAGCAGAACGACGTCTTCGTAGAAACCAAGACCAAGGACAACGTGTTCGTGCTGGTGAAGGTGTCCGTTCAGCAGCAGGTTATCCCAGAGCAGGCCGAATCGGCGATTTACAAGCTTGCCAACGTTAGCGCGCAGATCGATTCTTACGTATCCGATGTGATACGATCGGCCGTGCCGAAGATGACCTTGGATGAGGCGTTCGAAGAGAAGGATAAGATCAGTCAGGGCGTTAATGAAGCCCTCACCAAAAGCATGCACGAGTACGGATTCCAGATCATCAAGGCTTTGGTTACAGAGCTCAAGCCGAGTCAGGACGTGATGAACTCGATGAACGAGATCAACAAGCAAAAGCGCCTCCGTGATGCGGCATTGATGGCGTCCGAGGCCGAGAAGATCAGAGTGGTGAAGAAGGCCACGCAAGCACAACACTGCAGTCGGGGCCGACGTTGAAGTCGAAGCAGGGAAGCTCCGGTGCCCCGTGCCACTTCGTGCGCCCTGCTACCCTCGGAGTTGCCCTGCGTCTTCTCGGATGCATGTTGTCTTCGGTCGCGATGTTCGGTCATTTGGTGAACGTTTTGTTTTTTCCTCCTCAGGGGAACGCTCGTTACCCTGGCCACCCCCCCCCGCTACCCCTGCCCAGGTAACGCTAACAATGCTGTAGTGCACGCAGGCGGTTGATGCGCCGGTGGCGCGGACGCACCCTGGCGGGTGCACGCCGCGTACGCCGTCATCGTTACCTTCCCGCCCGCCTTCCTTCCCAACGGGTAATGACCGTCACGCGGAAAGGAATCTAAACGGTCACTTTAGCGATAAATTGCAATTTGCGCGAATCCGGTCCATGTCCCTTCTGCAGGCAATCTTTTTATATCCAGATCCGTTTTTCGTTTTTGCCCTTCCAGGAAGGGGCATCAGAAGGCCGAGACGCAGTGGATACGGATAAACATCTAACCTCCAGGGGCCAGACTTTTATACTACGCCATGCGCGCCTTTACGACGTCGAAATGTGTCGTTCGCCAGCGGAGCGCAATTGTACAAACGAGCGGCGGTAAGGATGAGCATTTGATGCAATACGCCCACGCACCCCTAGATTAGGGGCATCCTTTTCGTTTGTTCTGCGTCCTCGGTCTAAGGTTATGTTTGATCTTGGCGCGCTCCATGTTCCTTGAATCCTCACACTCCATCCGTGTAACTCTTAGGAAGACACCGCACCGCCGATGCCTTGGGGTTGCTGGGTCGCAGAGGTCATGGGTGGTTTGTTGGTGCTGGCCGTCTGGTCGTTGAGGGTGGACCACCCTGGTGAAAGATTTTGGCTCCTTGGGCAGTGTCGGATGGCTTCAATGCAATGGATTTCGTGCTTGTGATTTTTGTTTGAAGAGCTGCTTGCCCCCCGCATACAAGGGTACCCTTGCATCCTCTGCTACTTGGTCCAGCCTTGGCCCCGCTCGAACAGCTTCGAAACGGCCTTCCAAGGCCCTTGCATCCTTACCGCCGCGCATCCTTGCTATTATACGGGTTGACTGTACGCTCTTTGCTATGAGGCTCTTTTCGTGCAATCTGGGCATGCGCGCGGGCCTGTTGCGGGCCATAATCTGGGGGCATCTTGATCTTATGGCAACTTTGAAGGGAGAGGCTCCCAAGGCCAGTGCTACTTCCCCCGCTTGGGCGGCTCATGGGGTTCCTTTGAGGCTTCTCGAGCCGTCCACCAGCCATGTGGGGGTGATCTTTAGGGCCTCGTGGGCCGTCGTGGGAATTCGGAGGCTAGAAATGGCGAGTTCCCCAGAATCATTCAAAACGATTCGATATTCAAATGGTTTGGGGCCGTGGAGGCCTGCTTGGGGTTCCTCCGGTGACTGCATACCAAGCCACCCCAACCCGACCCGAAGTCGCCGTTGGGCCTGCCAAGTGCCAGTGGGGGGGACGCTGGAACATCGTGAAAACACCATGGAACCGTACACCCCCAAACCCGAAATGTGTGTGGGGGTATGGGTCTTGCGGGCTGGTCTGGGGGGGTCTGGCAAGTAGTGATCCGCGGGCCAGTCCTCCAGAGATGTCTCGGAGCTTCCCCGGGCGGGCGGGGAGCTATCCGGGGCAATGCTGCTGCGTCTGCGGACGTGTCTGTGGCCGATGGGCCCGCCGGCACCCAATCCTTGGCGCCCCACCCATCCGCACCCTCCTAGCGTTTTGATGCCTCCGACTTGATTCAATTCGACGTCGATGGCTTCATATTCTGATTTGAGTCGGTTTGGGATGCAGATTTGGGCTTTGATTCCCTAGTGGAGGCCTACTAGCCTGCCGATTTCCGCCGAGTCGCCTTCTCCCGATTCGGCTGACGATTCCTGCCGATCCGATTCATCTGGATCGCCGATCCGACATCGATTCGATTCTGGGTTCTCCTGCCCGCCAGTCCAGGTGCCTGGGGAACGGGTTCGAGGTTGGAGCTCGCACGCTACTGTGCCTCTCTGTGTGCTACCAGACGTAGCACAGTCAACTTACTCCTAGTTACTCCCGCGGGTGGTCCTGAGGAGCGACCCCCTACCCAGACCCCCACGCTGCCATGTGCGCTGCCCAGTGTAAATTTGTCGCCATTTTCATGCTCTCCAGTGGTGCACAGCGGAACATTCACTGTGGGGACTCATAGTGTCCCAAAATTGTGAAAACATTGATGGTCCCCCCCTTCCCCGCCGCGATCCCGACAGCCATGAATTCGCCACCGAATAATAGTTTTAAATTGTCCCCTCTGGACAAAGATTCCACAGACCGGAACAATACGATTGATATGTGGTCCTGGGCTCCGGGCCCAGCGACCCCTCGGGCCCCCGCCGCCCCCCAGATGGGATGGGGGGGACGGCGACGATGATGACGACGAAGACAACGACGACGACGACGAAGACACCTTCCGCTCCAGCTCCCTGAATTACTGCAACACGCCACACCCGGAGGGAGGGGACGACGGGGAAAACACCGTCGACGACGATGGTTCTTTCCCTTCCTCCGTCCCCCTCCGCATCCCTCCCTCCTCGTTCCTTGGCCATCTCCTACCTCGCTCACTTCTCTCACTTCCTCTTCTCCTCCTCCTCCTCCTCCTCCTCGTCCTCGTCCTCGTCCTCCTCCCTGATGGGAGGGGGGAGGGCTGGACCCCATACCCACAGGGGAAGACCCCACCACGCCACGCCCACAAGGGGGGGGGGGGGGCGTGCCCATCGCGCGGGGGAGGAGGTGCCCGATGGCATCAGCAGGAGGGGTTGGGGCCTGGCCTGGACCCTGGATAGTGTGTACATGTCTGTATGTCTACATATATATATATATATATATATATATGTATATATATATATATGTGTGTGTGTGTTTGATATATTCCATATGTACGTCCACATATATATATATATATATATATATATATATTCATATATATACATATACACATATGCGTATACGTATATATCCATATATTTATACACAGGGGAACCTGGGGACAGGGCTGATGGCTCCCAGGGCGGCCCCTCGACGCGCCTGGGGGCCCCAGGGCCCTGGGAGCGCGCTAGGGTCGCGCCGGGAGGCTGAGTCGCCCCCGGAGGGCGCCAAGAGAGAGCTCCGAGAGCGCTCCCGGAGGTCTCCAAGACAGCCCAAGATCGCTCCAAGACGCCCAAGATGGCCTCAAGATGGCGGTCGCGAGGACGTCCCCGGCGGTCTGGTTTGCCCCGCCTTCCATGCGTTCCCTACCTAGGCTCTGCCTAGAAGTGTTCTTACTCGGTTGGCTTAAGGGGCCGGGCAGTGGAAACCGCCCCGGGCGGTTCCCCCGGTTGCGCTCCCTGGGTCCTGAGCAAAGGCAAAAGCAAAGGCAACAGTGAAGGCAAAAACGAAGGCGAAGCAAAAGCATAGCATAGCATAGCACAGCATAGCATAGCATAGCATGACGCAGCATAGCATAGCGCAGCATAGCATAGCATAGCATATCATAGCATAGCGTAGCCGAGCCTAGCCCAGCATAGCATTGCGCAGCATAGCAGAGCATAGCATAGCACAGCATAGCGCAGCACAGCATCCACTATTGCTGCTGCTATGTGTATATATATATATATATATGTGTGTGTGCGCACGTATGTTCCATGCATGTGTTCCGTCTGTGGGCCATCTTGAGCCCTTTAGTGGGGCAGCTTGAGCCCTTAGGATTCACGAAGGTTTCGCACATAGCACCGGCCGGGAGACATGAAACCCGATGTATTATCGCATGTCGTAAATGTTTTTCTAGGTAGGGTCGTATTGGGATAATTTTCTATATGCGCACTACAGCGTTGGGAAGAGTTATTGTTTACATTGTCGCCCCAGATTGTTCTTTTTGTTTATTGTAATTGCTTTAAGACATGATTCGTTTCGATTCGCGTATCCCCACCAGCCCACCCGCAAACGATACAGTGGAACAGGAGGATCAGAGGACCAGGCGAAGGCGCGGGGGGGGACGAGGGAGCGACGAGGAAGGACCCAGATTCGGGAAAGAGCGCTCTCCTGAATGACGGGGGCGAGAGCGCCCTCGGGAGGAGATGAACGATCCGAAAGTGAGGCCCACGTTGCAGCGGGAGCACCGTTTTGTCTGGTTGACCCAAAAGGGGTCTACCGAAAAAAGAGGGTGCAATAGCCATGGGGAAACAGAGACGTGGGGTTGCACTGGATTTGGGGCGTGCAATACATTTCAGTGAGCAAATTTGTTGCTGGATTTTTACGTGCAATACATCTAGTTGCAGCACAACGCAATACAGTCCTCCAGCGCAATACATGTGCAAAATAACTGCCCCAAATCTATTGCACCACCCCCTTTCAGCTGGACTCCCGATTGGGTCAACCAAATTTTAGAAGGACCGAGAGCATCCAGACTGAAACCGCAGAGAGGAGCCAACATGCACCAAGCTTGTATGCAGAAATCCTACGCGGATGGGGGCGCGCTGCTCTCAGGACGTCTCGGGGGGGGGGGGGAGGAGTATTTATAGTGTGCAGTTGTCAACATCGAGTACAGAATCGATGACACATCTGATTTACACCAAAGTTGATTTGCTTGATCCTTCGAGAGTTACTTAGACTGCTCAATAGGATTACAGAGAGTTCTACGTTTTATTCGTAACTTCGACGGACGAAGCAATTATAGGGGAACTCAATTCTGTAGTCGACCCCCTACTCGAGAACAACAACTCCGGACCAGCTTTTGCAGACCAAGGAGTCAGCAATCCATGTTGTCGCGGGTCTTTCAGTCGGGGGCCCCTTGGCAGTTTGCATGGGCTATCTGGGGGCCCTCTCGGGGCAACTTTCAGAATTTTCCTGCAGGCATTTATTGGGGTCCTTCGGGGCCCTCCTGTCGGAAACTGGAACATATACATTACCAGTGGCGGGCTGTTTTTGGCAACCGAAGGACTTCTTGGGGGTCGAGGACGACGCTGTAGTGGTGTCGTGTATATTTTTTTCCCCGATGTCCCGGGGGAACAACGAAAATTGTATACACCAGGGTCCCGTATACACCAGTATCCGCTCTCCAGTGCAAATTCGCATGCAGGGACGGAAGAAGCGTCGGTGCATAGAGTTCGATTCCTTACCCTGGGCCATGAAGGATGACATCGGTCAAGAAAAGGTGACGGCACCAAGTTGTCGATCCCCACTGGAGCCAGACAAATTGCTTTTCGAGGCGCTCCTGAGGAGTTGTTGAGGGTATTCGGGGTCGTCGTGGTGCCTTTGTGGGCCCCTCTTGGGGCTCTATTGGACGCCATCCTGAGGCCACGGAAGCCCATCGGAAGCGAAATGGCTAGGGGGCTCCGAGGCCACTTGGGGCAATTTCTTGGCAGTGTTGGGCCCTCCCGAAGACAGACTGGAGGCCATGTTGAGCCAACGCACGTGGCGCTGGTCGCCGTGCAGTGATCCAGGATCCGCGAGGCATGGGGATCGCTCCTCCTGGGCGGGAGCGATAGGCGCTTGGAGGCGCGCTTCTTTGCCGCAGGGCCTGGGGCCACCTCTGCGGGGGCTGTGGTCTGACACAGGGGGCAGTGTACTGGCTCGTATCTCTGTGAGCTTTGATCCGGCTGCGAGCGAGGGGGGAGAGTGAGGAGGAGAAGGCCCGCCCAGAAGGCGCCGGGACTTCTCGGAAGCTCCCGCGCCTTCTGAGAAGTGTTCTGCGTCTTCGGGGAAGGTTTCGGCAATTTCTCAGAAGGTTGGCGGATTTCCGAGTCTTTTCAGATGGCCCGCCTCTTCTCACTTCTCTCCCGGGCTCGTCGCCGAGCTTCAGTCGTGGCAGTTGTGAATATGTTTTCGGCCTCGGTGCCGTCTACTGTTCCGGAATCGTTCACACCACGATTTTAGATGAAAAGCCGACCTCGTGGGAGACCTTGCCAAGAAGGTCGATATCCCAAGGACACCTTGCCAAGAAGAAACATGGTGCTGGATGAAAGCAAATCCAGTCGCACCGAGAAGTCAGATCGAGGTCGGATCGGGGAGGGTACCCCAGTGTTTTTCGTTTGTGTGTGTATGTGTGTGTGTGTGTGTGTCTGGGGGGGGGGATGTTCGTGTGCTTCCTGGGGAGGGTGCCCTCGGCTGTCCTGTCTGTTTTGGCCGACGGAGGATCTCATGTTCTTGAGGGATTTCCGTGTGGCCTAGGTCTGAGTTGGGCATGTTCCTCTTCAGGAGGAAGATTCAAACATAGTGGAACAATAGTCAGGGGACGATGTTTTGATTGCGAAGGCCTTACGGCCGATGCCGCCGACCCTGGAGACGACCCTGTCGTCTGGGCGCGCCAGCCCTCGCGGATCGGACGGTGGCTGCGAGGCGCTGTTGGACGTCGGAGGCGTTGAAAGCGCGCTTGCCGCGCTCGGGAAAGTGTCCCTCCTCCGTTCTGTGATGGGGAGGAGGAGGCACAGGCGGACGAGGAGGACAAGGTCGAAGAGGAGGAAATACCGGGTTGTTTTGTAATTTTTTAGTTTGTTTTGCAGCTTCCTGGGAGAGTTTCTGGGGCCTCTCGGGAGCCTCTTGGGGCCTCTGTGGGCTTCCTGGAGGGCCTCTTGGGAGCTTCTCGGGGCTGAGGGCTCGAAATGTCCGTTCGGGTCCCTCGTCTGGGCGCTCTCTTGGAACCGTTTTGGTGGCCTTTTGTGAATCTGGGAGGCGTTTTGGGCCGTGTTGGGGCACTTCTGGGCCGTTTGGAGACCGTCTCGGAGGCCTCTTGGGCCGTGTCGGGGCGATCTAAGGAGCCTCTTGGGCCGTCTTGGCGCGTGGGGAAGCAGAAGAGGCGAACACACAAAACATCCTTGAACAAACGCTTGGGAAATCCATGATTTGTACCTCATGGGGCTCTCGTGGGAACGGTCCTGGAGGCCTCTTGGGGCGTCTCGCAGGTTTCTTGGGCCGTCTGGAGGCCGTCAAGGCGTCTTGGACAGATCATTCGGCGATTCGGCGCCCTCTGGGATCGTTTTGGTGGCCTCTTTGGGCATTCTTGACCCGTCTTGGCACTTTTTTGGGCTCCGGGATTCCCCGGGGGGGCGGCGTAAAAACCCGGGACCCCCCCCCGGGACCCGCCCCGGGGGGCGGCGTAAAAACCCGGGACCCCCCCCGGGACCGACCCCGGGACAACCCCCCCCCCCCGCGGGGAAGGGATCAAAGGGAAGGGGTTTCCCTTCGACTCAATTTCGACGTTGCTCAATTTCGCCGAGGACGGAACAGACGGAGAAGCCCTTTCCACACGCCGACAGGGTCGGCGGATTTTTGTTGTTGTTTTTGTTTGTTTGTTGTTTTTTATTGATTAATTTTCGACTATGTTTTAGTTTTCCTCCAATTTCCGCTCGTCGGAGAGGACATGCCCGTCCTAAGCCTAGGTCCGACCGCCCTTCCTCTGCAGCTCCTCGCTCCCGGCACAGGCCGAAGCCGACTGCGAGGCGGCCCGTTTGCAGGGCGAGGGCATTGCGAAGCAGCGCGAGGCCATTGTGGACGGCCTGAAGAGGTCTCGGGGGCGGACAGAACCCCCACCTTGGCACGTCGATTAAAATTTGAAGAAAAAAAAAACATAAACATTGACTTTTGGCTGTCCGCGTGGATTCCTCGGATCCGCTCTGGGAGCCCCCTGGTGGCGCCTCCGGCGCCGCCC